GAAAACATCCTTCTAGTGTCAAACATCCAACTGTAGGAACAAGCAGATAAACAGATTGTTGACTAGACTTTATCTAAATTTAGGTATATCTAATATTCTTTAAATGTAAAAAGCAATATTATGCAATAATATTACATGTATGTGCATGTTAAAACTAGTAAAGTCAAGTAATACGAAGGGTGAAAATGTTGGTGATAGAGATTCCAACCCATAACTGAAAGGTCACAGGTTCAATCCCTGCCACGTGTCCTTTTAAAGTGCCCCAAACAGATCACTGCTCCCAAAGTGATCCGAGTATGAATGTCAAAGTCAGTTTTTATGTGTTTTTAACCCGTTAAGTGAAGCAGACAGGTGGTTTTATGTGTGGGACGATGTCGGGAAGCGGCGGTAGAGCTCGGTTCAGAGCTGCAGTGTTAAAAGGGTAAGGGTGTATGAGGGGCATAGGTACCGCAATGCAGGCCTCCACTCTGGCACGTCTAAATAAGGCGTCAAGTGGGTGTGTGAGAGTGTGTGTGTCCAACAAAGTGGAGCTGAGACACCCTATCCCTACAGAGAGGACTAGTGTTAGGACAGAGCCTCACTGCACCACTCACCGAGCTAGTCTTACACACTCACACAAAACAGCACATAAAGTCTAAAAAGTGCATCCGTACGGCTATCGATCGGTGCCTTATCCTCAATTCACCAACACTTCCACCAACATTTTCTGCTGCCTGAGTGAGTGGGATGGTTTAGTGGGTTTTACTTGAAGTTGCTGGGATGCTGGCTGAGGGCCAGATTCAGGGTGTCCATAGCATGACGGTGGTGTTTCTGGGCGCTCAGCAGCAGGGTCAGCAGGTGGAGGGAGTGTAAGTCGTCCCCGCGGAGAGATAAAGCTGCCTGCAGGGGCTCTATGGCTGCTGACACCTGTCACACACACACACATTCTCAGGTGTAACTTACACTGTTTTCTAATTATTGTTAATATCTTTTCTCATTTGTTGACATACCTGGCGTACAAGTGCCAGCTGCAGAGCCAGATACATGGCAATCTGTGCGTCCTGGGGGTCTAATGAATGAGCCCTGTGGAGGAGAGAGAGAGTCAACAGAGTAAACTTTTTATTAAAGCCATATGTTGTCAAAAACTCCAAAGACCTGGGTCAGATTACGGGCAATTTATTTACTTGTACATGACTTAGGTCTGACTTTACAAACATTCAAAACACAGCCAAGCAAAAAGGCCTGCAGTGTGAACGTAGAGTCTGCAGAGGCTGTACTTAGGCACAGTCATGCCTTGAGCTAAATGTTAATATACTAACATGCTTTCAACGACAATGCTAACATGATTATGCCATGTTAACCATCTTAGTTTAACATGTTACCATGGTAGCAGTTGCCACTAAACCTGTGTAGGTGCCAGATCATAAACCAAAGCATTTGGACAGACTTGTTGTTTCGACTTGATCACAATAGTTATTATAAATTCATCCATTTTATGGATTGAATGCATGGCTAAGGATAAAATGCTACGTATGAATGTGACATGTGTGATGGAGAATAGGACCAGGACCTACTTGCTCAAAACTTTTAGTGCTTTTTTGTTGAATTCATTGCGATCAGCTTTCAGAGTGGCTGCAGAGAGAAGAGGACAGAACCAACAGTTCATAAAAATTGATGTGTTTAAAGTCCAGGTGACATAAAAACTGTAATTTTAACCCTTTAAGATCACATCCTTAGTTATACCTTTCCCCTATTTAACAATTTATACCAAAATCTGATCATTTCGTCTTCCTGTAAAACAATGTGTCATGCCCTTCTAATGAAAGGAATAGTTTGGGAATGTCATATATCACTTATGAAGCTAAAGGCAGGAGACAGTTAGCCTAGCATAAACAGCTAGCCTGGCTCTGTCCAAAGGTATTGGACAGGATTTTTTAAACCTTCATATCAAACTACATGTCCCCTGCTTCCCCTGTCGTTTTACTGCAGAGGATAAATATATTTGTCAGTTTGTGTGTCCTTACCCTCAGAGGCCTGTAGACTGCAGCAGAGTCCCAGAGCCAGGTAGGCCCTGGGTAGAAATTCTCCGGCTTCTTCCCCCATAGACACCACACTCTGCGACAGAGCCTCAGCCTCCTCGAACTGGACACACACACACACACACACACATATATATAAAACACACACACACATAAAACACTTACCACCAGTCTGTGATGAATATTTCCTCTTTGGCTTCTTCAAGAGCATCGGCTACGTCCTCCATGTATGTTTTCCCATTCACATACCTGTAAAAGACACACACACACACACACACACACACACAAACACGCACACACATACGAACGCACACACACCTTTAGACAGCAAGAACAACCAAAAACAAACACTCCCACCCCACCCTCTCACTTTTCAATCTGTCCATCTTCTGTTCTTTCATTATGCTTTTTATGGTGAACATCTCAGCTGTGCACACACACACACACACACACACACACAGAGCGTATTAATATTTCAGCAAACTGTGCGCTGTTGACTGGGCAACCACCACCTTATCTGGGCTGCCCAGGTTGGGTTACCACTTGCGAACAGCTTAGCCCATACATTGAATCAAGAGATCAAGAATTTATAACCTCTAATATAATCAAAAACATTAAGACACAAATATAGTTGACATAACATCCAGGCAAAAATGTGTACAGCTGATTAGATGTGATACTTTAGCCCCCTGCTTGTAAATTGGTTTTCTGATGAGAAGCAGGACAAAATCTGCCACGTTGAGAAAGAAATCAAATCCAAAAGCTGCCCTCAGGTCAGACACACTACCTCTACATTTCACACCTGACCTACAGCTCGAGACAGGTGTGCACAGCACCAGCCGCTCTGTGCAACAACAACCCAGGGATCCTGCCTTATACCCACCCCGTCGAACTACCTGACATTGCATTTTTTACAGCAGGAACAAAGCTACACACACCCAGTGCAGATCTTATGAGAAGTGCAGGCTGAGGCTGAGAGATGGAAACGTGGCTGCCCCAAATAGTGCCCTCTGATGGCCCATCCCACCCTGCTCCCACCTCAGATCTGGTGCTGTGAGGATCCTGTCATCACCCACAGACCTGTGACAGGGATGACATCACCTTCAATCTCTCATGGGGTGTTCAAAAAAACGAGCTAATGGCTCACCCACTTTCACACGATTAACAAGTTTGTATAATGGAGATGTGTGCATTTTTTTTAAAGCTCAAAGTGAACCAGATACAGGCGAGTTAGGCCTCTTTTAGAGCATTAAAAGAAATCCATTGACTCTGGTGTCCTCAACATAAGTGACAATATCACTGAAGATCTCTTGATGCGTCTCCCCGAATGAATCAACCACTACAAGTACAGTCACCAGCAGTTGTGTGATAACAGTAAGGTGTTCACATTAGCAGTAGCCCCTGCTATGATCTCTGTTATGCCGAAGAGTAATCTCCTGCTAAATTGTGATAATCTATCGAGCTGCTTCCTCTAACTGGTCAGTTAGCTCGGCTAGCTCGCTGTCACTAACAACTCTTCATTAAATCCTCCTGACAGGTAACGTTGAGTGCAAAGTTTGCACCATATATATGCCCTGACGCTTTACTGTTAGCACAGGTGGACTGAGCTCTTGTCGGCAGCACTAGTAGCCGACTGAAAACGACTGTAACGTTAATGTACCTAGCGTTAGCTCTCAACGTTAGCTGGCTGGTCAACGGTAACGGTAATACGAGTTTAAAAAAAAACAAAAACATCAATGAATGCCAGCGTTTAGAACACGTCACAGGTGACGGGGTGTGCTCGTTAAGTCGTATTCTTTTTCTTTTACCTCATCTTCCTTGTGATTCCTAATGCCACGTACTAAATCCTGAAGGTTTTTATCGAACATCCGATCGATGCTCCCTTTGACAATCTTCAAAGCCATGTCTGCCTGTGACTTGTGCCGCGTCTGTCCTGCGGGGCAAAGCGCCTTTCAGGGGTCTAGTGGGTGCCGACCGACCCGCTAGACTGTCTCTCATCCACCCGGGGACCGTGTGTGCAAGACCCGCTGCTGTTTACCAAGCCCGGGCAGATGAAGCTGAGGCCAGACGGGGCGTCCTGTGCTGTGCAGATACGCTGGCAATGGATCAGTGTAGGAAATGGCTGACAAAATGGCGTCCACAGTCAGCTGACTTGAGTATTATGTGGGAATCAGGGGAATTAAAGGTCTAGTCCCCCCTCCTGTTCACTAGAGTGAAGGGTTGTATGACACTGCCGATTTCAAAACAGTACCGAACTTTTAAATAAGAATAGAAATACACTGAGTCCTGTGACTGAGCCTCAGGACATTTCAACCAGTCATTAACCAGCCTACAGTAACAGGAGTGTGTGAGAGGAGTTGACTTTTTTTTAATTTAGTACCAGAAATGTAGAAGTAAGCAATATATGGTGGTGCAGTTGTTGGTAAAACACCCTCTTTTACACTAGCACAGCAAATTAACTGGGGGGGAAAAAAGAGGAAGTTTTCCACTGCGAGAAATGAGATAGAAACCAAACCATGCTGAGATTTTTATTCAAGTCTCAACTTAGTGATAGAAATGCTTTACCAATTTACATAGCACTAAAAACACCTGTTGTATGCATATGACAGGAAAATGGCAAAATAGGCTGCAGCTACATGAGATCTCAATAGCTTTTAAGGGCAGTTTTCAATCTGTACAGTTATTCCATTTATTATGCAAGTTACTGAAAGCGGACACTATGGGTAGACGAGAGTGCAAGGTGTTTTAACTCCACAGCAATTATTAATTTAGACAAAACTCTAGATGCAAATATTTGCAAACAAGGCTATAAAAAGTCAGTGGACCTCTGTTGGAAAACAGTTTGAAGTGATTCAATTAATGGCTTTACATTTCAGACTGGATTAACTGGATCAAGACCAGATAATTAAAAAAATACTTAACATAAAAGACTCACAAATAGTACTTTACCACTCTCACAATGCCATACACACAGACAAAAGGCCTTTGTGATGTTTTGTAGGCTTTATAAAAAAATGAAGCCAACAGACGCAAGCACGGGTTGCACAAAAATTAGCGAAAAAATTAACGTCATGGCTCCATTTCCCCACAAGGATCATCAAAGTTACATCTCATACTACCCCAGCCTATATTCCGGTTAGAAGTGCTAAAAGTGTAATCATTGAATATACATACGGTATGAAAGACCAAAGTAAGAGTTCATGTGGTAGAAAGAACAAAGCAGCCAGGAACAGGGGGTACAGGGTGAGGATCCAGGACGGGCCGAGTGTCGTATAAAAGGAAAAGTACATTTCAGAAAACAAAAGGAGGGGGGGCTCGTACGGCGCCACAAACTATCACACTAATAAGCTTTCCTTTTTGTTGTGATAAATAATGGACCAAACGGTTTGAGCAACAGGGGCCTTCTGGTTTGAGATCATTATAGTACAAAATGTCCAAAACATCAACATTGACGTAACAGATAGTGTAGGAAATGCTGGGTGTGTGTTGCAATGTTGTTGGGCCAGGGGCACTGTATGACGTCAAACAAAGAGGCCACCATCTTTAGCACTTGGTCCACTGCAGTGGTTGTTAAGGGTCTTTCAGCTTTCTACAGCCGGCGGTTCCATCTCTGCAGAGATGGCGTTGTCTGCTTCTTCATATGTGTGAGTGTGTTGTTCAGCAGGACTTTCTGGGCTCCGTCTAAAAAGAAAGTACATTATCAGTCACAACCGCTGCTGTGCTTCAATTACAATATATTAAACAGGGAGGATGCTCACATAAGTGTGTAGATGTACAATGGTTCTCTTCGCTTAAACCTAAAACTTTTTGATTGTCCCTAAAGCCAACAGAGATAATGTACATTGTCACACATGGGATGTTCACCTGTTCGGACTTGAAGCAGTATCATCATTATTCTCCTCCTGGGCAGGTGATTTTGGTTTTTCTTCTACCTCCATGTCATCTGTTTTCTGTTGTGAATCCCCATTCACTGGAGTGGAGTCTAAAAAATGCAAATTTAGATGAATATAAGAAAAGGAAATTGAGGTAATGTAGAACTCAGATGGAGGCAAGATGGAGGTGTGTGCCTGTTTTAATTTTTTCAAACCTGTGTTTTGTGTCTCCTCATTATCTTCTGGTTCCTTGTCGTCCGTTTTAGGTTTAGCTGGCAGCTCCCCCTTGCCCACAAAGCGGAGTTTTAACTTGTTGTAGACATCAGTAGCTTTTTCCATGACTGCAGTGCTGGCTTTATACCGCCGAATCTATATTGTCCATAACAGGAAAAAAGAAAGATCAAAGAAGTTAAGAATGGAGAAGATAATATAATGAAACAAATGTAGTAGAGCCCTGATTATTAAACCCCAATTTGCAACACCTTTTTCTTGTCAAACACTCAGGCAGGCAATACACCATATTTGGTCCACTGATGTGGTATCTTTTAAATGCACATTTGAGTGAATTATTAATATAAAGTTAATCAATAAAAGAAGAGAAGAAACCACATTTTTAGGTAGAGTTATTAAAATAAAGAGTACAGTAAATTAGACATGGCAAACTTCAGTACTGCTGTTTCTACTTACATTTCCTCATGTCAAGGAGAAGCATTATTAAGCAGTGGATTAGAGTATTTGAGTTTCCAACAATCATCAATACTATGGAAAACCCTACCTATTCAAGTGTAACAGTTTCAATGAGGACACCATGTCATGTACATTCTTTCCATTATTTTAACAATGTGGGTTATATCTTAATGCAGATTGACTTGCAAACATAAAAAAACTTAAAGATTATACATGTACATCTACCTTATTATAGCAAACAACTATTTACTATGTAAAGTTATAGTGGCGTCATGATGTCTACGCAGCCTCTGTGGTTTGGTCTGCTCTGTGTGCAGCTGAGCAGAGCAACTGAAACTGCTGCAGTGAATTTATTTCCACCAAAGCAGAGTTGGTGATTGTTGGAACAGTGAAAAGACTAACAAAGAGAGTCTTAGTGATTGTTATTTAGTTTCTGTTTACGTTGAATGAAGTTATGATGTTATAATGATATGCAAGGTAAAATTTCTTTTTTTCTGTCACTTTCTGAGTCTGGTGGCGAGTGATAGTGATATTATGGCTGTTTCTGGTTAAACAAAAGGTCTGTGTAGGGATCCTTTCTTTAATGTTTTCAGACACTTAAAATAACAATCTGAGCCTGTCAGTGGCAACAACAAGCACTTTAAGTGGACGTACGAGCGGATTTGTCTCTAAGGATTAACGTTAGTTTATGTTGCAGCCATTGCAGCCCTTTTCACATCGAACTTGGTGAATTAAGGTTTTATTTAGACTAAACCATTGTTGGTTTAATTTGTTTCTGTCCTGTCGTTTTGGTCTGAGAGGCTGGTGTTTTAGTGCGACACCCAGTGGTATGGGTAAACTTTTAAGGACACAAACACAAACAATAGACAGTAAATGCACCTTTTTCAGTGTGGCAATGACTTCAGCGTTCTTATGAAGGATCTGGCTGGTGACGGGCACGGCCTCAAGTTCTTCCAGGGCTTGTAGACACCGCTCTATGTCCTAAGAACAATTCCATTTAAAACATTACTTTTTCATGCAGGCATAAAAACACACAGAAAGAAGTGACCATGTATTTAACCCAGATCCTTTAGATGTCACTTACTGGGTTGTCCACTTTGAGTGCAAACTTTATATCTGTGTGGAGCTTTTGTAGCTTTTCTTCTGGTGATGGCTCTGCTTTTGGACACACAAAGTAACACTCAATATGTTGTACTGAATTACTACTTTCCCTCTCACAGAAGAAAGGAACACAATAGATCTTTGTGTGAATCTACCTGTTGCACAGTTTCTGTCTATGCATATAAGTGTAACTGTATGAGAGACTGACCCTTTTTCTTTTCAACTTTCTTCTCTGGCGGCCTCTCTGGTTTGCGTTTGGGTTTTTCAGGCTTGGACCTGAAAGAGAGACAGAGGGGAAACTCTGTGATCTGTGTACATTAAATTTTAATGAAGTTCTCCTAATGAGGTTTGCATACTATAGTCTGTTCCCCAGTGTGCATTCACCTCGCTCTGGACTTCTCCTCTGACCGTCTGGCTTTCTTCTCTTTTAGCTCTTTCTCCTTTCTTTCTTTTTTCTCCTTCTCTTTCTTTATTCTTGCCTTCTTCTGGTTGTCGGGCTTCTTTGATTTCTTTACCTTTTGATGGGAAAGGCACAAGAAGTTGCATGTGTCAATAGCACCTAGACAAAATATAACACATAATTTAGGTGATTCAAATTTTTTAATTAAGCAACTGTACATCAGACGGCGGTGGGGAATCAGAGTCAGAGGGGGCGGGAATTGGCGGTGGAGGAGGTTTCTTGGACTTCTTCAGTGGGTGATCATCTACACCTTCGTCCGAGCTGCTGCTGCTCTCACTGTCGCTCCCTTTTTTACCCTTGTCTTTGTCTTTCTTCTTTTTCTCGTCTTCCTCCTTCTCTCTCTCACGTAGCTTGCGGAGCTCCTCTGCCTCCTCCTTTTTCCGGCGCTCCTCCAGCTCTCGTCTGCGTTCCTCGTCTCGTTTCTTCCATTCACTGATGCGGTCGGTTTCGCTGTCACTGCGGAAAAAAGAAAAACAGAGCTCCCTTTTACAACAGGTTGGTGTGAACCTCACATTAGTATGTTTAAGCGGTGCATAAACAGGGAAAAAGTCCTCAGAGCAGCCTGACCTGTCACTGTCAGAGGACGATGAAGGTGCTCGTTTTGCGGGGGCGGGTTTGGGTTTCCGTGCACGAGGCTTTGGTGCAGGCTTTTCTGTGGAAGGGAAAAAATAAGCAGTGTGCACATTTACATAAGCCAAAAGAGGGGCGTAAAATCTTTTAATCCTTAAATATCAAACAACATTCATCTCTAGAACTTTGGATAAAGCAGAAATATAATCAATCCTAAACAAGACTGAACCCACACCTTTCTTGCGTGCCTGTGGGCCCTTCCGGGGAGGTGGATCTGAGTCCGATTCAGACTTTGAGCCAGACTGGGATTCAGAGCCGGACAGAGCTGGCCGGGGCTTCTCGTCCTCCGAGTCGCTGTCCACCACTTTCTTATCCGACCCTGATCCAGAGTTTGACTCCGAGTCAGAAGATGCCTTCTGCAACATCACAGACAAAAGAGGATTTGGAGATAAAGAAGCAAATCACAAACTGCCCTGACCAAATACTTTTAGTATGAAACGGGGCTGATGGTTCACCTTTTTCTTCCCTCTGCCTCCTGCTTTCTTTCCACCTCGTCCACCAGATTTCTTCTCTGGGGTAAAATCCTGGTCACTGTTCTTGCCGGAGTCAGACTCTGAAGGTGTGGGTTCTGATTCAGAGGGGGATCCGCTCTCCTCTACATCCCGGTCGCTGGACGAGCCTCGAGCCTTTTTGGGAGGGGGAGGCCGCTAAAATAGAAAGATGCAAATAGAAAAACTATAATTGTAATTGCAGCTCTTTTTCATATGCAGCCGGTTGCTTCAGCCAAACCATCTGACCTGTCAAACTTGCATTAATCATGGCTCATTATTGCTTTTGTCATTGCTATGGCAACTCTTGATATAAAAAAGGAAGCTACCAGTAATTAGTGGTCTTTTTTTGTTACCTTCTGTTTTTATTCTTATGTAAGCAGAGACATTCTTAGTACATATCCAAGTGTCGCTAATTGTTATGGTAACTCGCGGTTGGCACTTATTGTGCCAAATACCCGTAATTGTGACCAAGAATGCCCTTTTCTATAAAGCTCAATAACACAGTTATAGTATGGGCTGAATGAGTTAATGAGTTATTACTGAATCACTGAATACACGGTTTAGTTTAAGGTGTGGTGTATTTTAACTAACAGTACCATTAAACATCAATTACCTTAACAGGTGGTGGCTTTCGCTTCACTCCAGGACCACCTCCTCCACCACCTCCTCCTCCTCCTCCTCCTCCTCTTCCTTGGTCTTCACTCCCAGAATCTGATTCGACCTCACTTCCAAAGTCTGGTTTATGAGGCACCGGGACTTCTTCCTCGTCGTCATCTTCATCACTTCCTCCTCCGGCATTGTTGCCCTCGCTGTCAGAAGAGCTGGCTGGCTGCAGGCGAACCGTGATAAGAAGATTATTACAAATGTCTCACTTAAACACACTGCAGTCTTCAAGGCCTGTCAAAAAACAAACAAAACATCCGAATCCAGTCTCTCACTTGGAACGACAGCATTTTTTAAAGAGTATTATGACTTTTTGTCGTTCCTTGACCATTTGCCTTTGACAGGGAAATGACTCATGGAGATGCAGTAAAGTTCCCTGGTCATAAATGAACAGTAGATGTTACAGTATGCCTCACACCTTAAACCGCTGGGCGCCAGGACACCTTAGTCTGAACTGCAGCATTTTAATCGAAAGACAAGGCAAGTTAATGTGTATAGCAGCTTTAAACAACCAGACATTTCAAAGTCCTTCAGAAGTTACCACCTAGCAGAGACGAGCATGTGAGTAAAACAATGCGAGTAAAAATGACAGACACTAGGATTATGAGCATGACTGTTTAAACAACTTCCAATCATATCTTTTAGAGTATGGGGGAATGTTGAGGTATGGAGTTATTCAGGATTTTGGATTTCTGAGATTAGTAAACTTACTACAGGCGGGGCGCTGTAGGAGGCATGTGGATTGTTCTGGATCTCCCATAAACCTTCATTGAATCCCTTTCTTTTGTTGGGCTTTCCATAGCGTTCGCTGTACTTTTCATAGGCAAAAAGGTCCTTTGGCGCAAGGAATGCTCTGTGAAACGGAGGGATAGAAAGAAGACAATGTGAAGAACTTAACGTCTGAACCAGAATAAACCCCTCCAATGTTATCATTAAACAACAGGTTGTTTGACATTAAGGATGCTTTACACCGATTTGAGACTTTAGAACAGCAGACTGTGCCACCTAGTGATGGATTAATATACTGCAGGTGCCATCTTGTCAAACAGATGGTGTCTGTTGCCAGATCAGACATATCAACACATCTCTCAAAAAACATACTGCACACTCAAAGTGACACGAGTCAACAGTGAACCTTGAGAGAAGAAAGCTTAACAAAGGAGACTAACGTGCAGCGGCGTTTTTTCATTTTTTGTTTTTTTGTCTCACACCATTGCTCTCACAGAGGATATCATCAACAAACAGATGAGTCAAGGGCCTAAATTTAAAACTGGCACAGCCCATTCAACTGTGCATGACAAAAAAAGCATCTGCACTACAGACAATTTTGTAATTTAATTCCCTCCTTTCAAATGGCTGAAAACACAAAATGCATTGTTTGGAGTTTTAAACAAGTCTGTGTGCATACCAGTAACTCCTTTCTCTACCAGCTGATAACACAGTACTGTACTCACGTTTCATGTGTCCCAAAGAAGAAGATTGGGATTTTATTAGGAGGTGGTTTCACTGCCCCATCAGCCACATCTTCAATCTGTAAACAAAGCAAGACCTTCAAGTAAAGAAAATGGCAAATAAAACCTTTCACAGGGACTCAAAAATGATGCCACCATGTATTTGATGCTACTAAAAAACATTGTGGATGTATTTTTGTAGCTAATCAGAGAATTGCATGGATATCTGGTGCACAATACACAGTTGTTGTTGTTGTTTTTTTTACACTAAACAAGAGGGCTTCTTCTCTAGAGAAACTACAGTCATCTCTACATCTCTGTTTCAAAGACTACAACGTTAGCTTTCGATGCTGTACGTCTCCACGCAGATTAACGTTAGGCCAACAGCATCTCATGCAAATGATGCTGCCTGCAGCTCGCACACTGACTGTGGGCCTGAGACTCAGCCTTGACAGCCCAGCAAGAAATAGAAGTTATGTATGTGTGTGAAAGGTATCCATGTTAGACAGTGTCGAGGAGACAGAGAAGCTTCTACAGCGTCCCATACAGAGCAGCTCATCCCCTCCGCCCCTCCGGCTGCTGCTAACGTTACTTGCTTACCCTGGCTGGCCAGTGGGGGTACCCCTTCATTTTAGCGAAGACCAGGTCTCCGGGCTGGAAGTTGTGTGGCATTGTCCCGCTCCTCTATGCAGCCGTGATTTAAAAAGTATTCAGCTGCGTAGCCTCTCTGTGTCTCTCTTCGTTTGCTTTTTTTTTCAGGTCGACACGAAACCTGGAAACGATGGGGTTAGCTAGCGAGCTAACAGTATACTAACGTTACCGCGAGAAGAGACCGCGGCGGGAAGTTAGCTGCGACACGCGGAGCACTTCCGGTGAGGAACGGGTCCGAGTTTTCAAAATAAACTACCTTCTACTCGACACAAACACATGGTGAAATGAGAATTAAAGGCAATTACATGACAATGAATGAGATTTATTCACAAAATGTTCACAGTGTATTACAAAATTACACAAAAGTTGTTAAAAACACAGTTCAATTGTACATTGTTGGACACTAACAGCTTGATAGTTATTATGATGTTCCTAGACTAAACAAACATTGGACACACTTATTTCCAGAATAAGTGAAGCAGTATAGAGCACACAGAGCTTCTTACTTTAGGAGTCACATATCTCAGCATTTAAATACCTTAAAGACTGATTTGCAAAGTAAATCCAGCAACTACATGTACTAAATTACCATGCACTCATTGTACAGTACACTGAATACATATCATAATTAGAATATAGTCCTTATTTTTAGTTTGGTGTCTATCATCAAGGTATATTTAAGGAAAGTCACCCATCGTACATTCTCTCTATCTCTGGCATGACATAGACAACTAAAATAAATTATTATACAAATAAAAAGCAATCACAACAACAATAAATATGAATTGCATCTTAGTTGCTAGAATAATATAATAGAGCATGCATTGGACAAACTGTCCCCAGGTGGGTGTACAGTACGATCCAAGTACAGTATAAACTTGTCATTACACACTTTGCACTAACATTGTGCACGATACAGTACAGTCAGGCAGTAAAATTGCTTTTTGAAGTTACTGACTTATTTTTATTCTAATTTTCCCAAACAACTTTTTCTTAATAAGAAAAACATAAATAAAACAGGGGTGTAGTAACATAGATCCTGAAAACGACTTTTCAAGACATTGCACACAGCAAAGATAAAAATGTCATATCTATATTTTCCTTTTGGCCTGTTGGATAAATTAAATGTGCAACCTTTTTTTAAATAACTAAATTATGTAAATGTTCTGACTTTTATTCTACAAGGTAAATTATCCCTCGGTTGCCATACCGGAAACAAAATCGTGCAACGTTGTGAGACGCTTCACCGATCTGGATGAGACAACCTGATCGATACGACAACCCCACCGGAAGTCCCGCCTCTCTCGCCACGCCATTGGCTGTCGTGCGATCAGTTTCCTCTTCGCCCAATGACAGGTTACAATGTGGAAAGCTACCCTGACCTCCCCCCGGATTCACCTCTAATGAGAAGCCATGTTTCGGTCTCTGAGAGCCGTCCGGCGGTTAAACTGCAACCTCCTGACTTTACAAAGACTCAACGTCAACTCTAAAGTCCTCCTCTGCACGTCCAGAATGGCCAGTTCAGAGTACAGGCTGGAGCGGGACACGTTTGGTGAGCTCAAGGTCCCGGCTGACAAGTACTACGGCGCCCAGACTGTCAGATCCACTATGAACTTCAAAATTGGGGGACCGAGTGAGAGAATGCCGATCCAAGTGATCAAGGCCTTCGGGATCCTGAAGAGGGCGGCCGCTGAGGTTAACAAGGAGTACGGCCTCGACCCGAAGATAGCAGACGCGATAGTCCAGGCTGCAGATGAGGTTTCAGCTGGTAAACTGGACGATCATTTCCCTCTGGTGGTGTGGCAGACTGGATCTGGGACTCAAAGCAACATGAACGTCAACGAGGTGATCAGCAACAGAGCTATTGAGATCCTGGGAGGTAAACTGGGCTCCAAGGATCCTGTCCACCCCAATGACCATGTGAACAAGAGTCAGAGCTCCAATGACACCTTCCCCACCGCCATGCACATCGCTGCAGCCACAGAGGTCCACCACGTCCTGCTGCCCGGCCTCCAGACTCTGCACGACGCTCTGGCTGCCAAGTCTGAAGAGTTCAAAGACATCATCAAGATCGGACGCACCCACACCCAGGATGCTGTCCCGCTCTCGCTGGGGCAGGAGTTCAGCGCCTACGTGCAGCAGGTGAAGTACAGCATTGAGAGAGTGAAGGCCGCCATGCCCAGGGTGTATGAGCTGGCCGCCGGAGGCACAGCAGTGGGTACGGGCCTCAACACCCGCATTGGGTTTGCTGAGAAGGTAGCCTCCACTGTGGCCTCCCTCACAGGCCTGCCCTTTGTGACGGCCCCCAACAAGTTTGAAGCCCTGGCGGCCCACGATGCTCTGGTGGAGCTGAGCGGAGCGCTGAACACGGTGGCTGTCAGCATGATGAAGATCGCCAACGACATCCGCTTCTTGGGGTCAGGACCCCGCTCCGGCCTGGGAGAGCTCATCCTACCAGAGAACGAACCAGGAAGCAGCATCATGCCCGGCAAGGTCAACCCCACCCAGTGCGAGGCCATGACCATGGTCGCAGCCCAGGTGATGGGGAACCATGTCGCGGTCACCATCGGAGGCAGCAACGGACACTTTGAGCTCAACGTCTTCAAGCCCATGATGATCAAGAACGTGCTGAACTCGGCTCTGCTGCTCGGCGACGCGTCCGTCTCCTTCACCAACAACTGCGTGGTGGGCATCCAGGCCAACACGGAGAGGATCAACAAGCTCATGAACGAGTCCCTCATGTTGGTCACCGCACTCAACCCGCACATCGGCTACGACAAAGCGGCCACCATCGCCAAGACGGCTCACAAGAAGGGCTCCACGCTGAAGGCCGTGGCCGTGGAGCTGGGCTACCTGACCGAGGAGCAGTTTGACCAGTGGGTGAAGCCCAGTGAGATGCTGGGGCCAAAGTGAACTGTGACAACACACAAGAAACACTACAAAACGAAGAATAAATACCTTTTCTAGTGCGAGAAAAGAGTAAATGAAAGCAGTTGGACTGTATGAACAAAACATTTTCTGAATCCTGAACATCTCGTCTCTTAATAAACATTTTGAGAATCCTCTGCTGTTGTTTGATGCAGCTTCTTACTCTCACTGTTTTGCATACTGGTAAAGAATAAATTACACTTCTCTGTCAGCGTGTTACAACAGTAAATCCACCTATTTGTTTGAAACCACAGGTTCAAACAATATAGTAGTATAGTTGCACCTGTTGCTCAACATCACAAGCATGTTTAAACATCAATACAGTTTTTTTCTGTTGGAGTAAAATGTGTGTATTTATCTACCAGCTTGTTGTTTTTTGGTATTTTAAAGTCTTAAATACTTTTTTTACCATTAGTTGGTACCTTCAGGGCAGTTAATTTGTTCACACCGTGCCATCCCAAATGATTCAACATGCACTGCTGAACCCTGTGTGTTCTGGTTTACAGTGTGTGCCATTTGTGCAGCCTTCCAGTTCAATTAAATGTGTATTCATTAAAGATTAAGTATATTCTGACTTGTGATATTTCCTTCTTCATAATTTATAGGTTTTACACACGCTTTCACACGCTCTGTGATCAGATCACAAGGATGAATGTAACGTATGATTAAGAAACACAGAAGATGCGCGTTTACTCAAATCCTTTATTGTATTGACGTGGAATTACAACAAAAGAATGCCAATTGAACACATTTTAATAGTTAATATATAAAGCTAGCAAATAAATGTCAAAAAAGTGATGTACAAGCGGTGAAGAAAACAACAAAATGAACATTTGCTTCTCTTCTATTTGGTCCAGCTGACCTTGGGAATATCGTAATGCTCTGTCAGGTTGTCCAGGTGGCGATTGAAATCCTGCACACAAACAGAAGATAATTCATTTTTGCTGACATTTCAACAGCAATGTGAATTCTACAGACATTAATGCATGTTTCATTTTTAAAATATTTAGATATATATTGATCAGCAAATATACTTGACTTTAAATAAATGTGCCGTTTTACAGTTGAATTAACGAGTCGGACTGAACGCTGCTATGCCAGGTCTGACATGACTTACCTCCACTCTGAGTTTGTGTGTCTTTGATGCTTTGTTCAAGATTCTCTCCATTTGCTTTAAAGGGAAGAGAGAGAGAAAAAGATTAATGCAAACAAAAAAAATATACCAACATCAATAATATACAATATCATTGTCGCTGTATGCACACTGTCAGGACATCACTACCATAATACTTCTAAGCAATGACAACATTCAAAACACCCCAAACTCAAGAAAACACGAGTAACTGGACTTGATGTTATTTTTAAAGGTGTGTGACAGCAGCTGCGGTTAACAACAACATCACCTGTTAGCCGTAAATCACATGATAAAACGGCCTTAACGCTATCAAATGGCGTCAACTGCAACACAATAATGTCTGCAGGTTTTTTGTTTCTGGGCAGTAGAAATGTGGATCCGCTTACCCTCAAAGCAAAGAAAAGACACTGTGCTCATGTTATGGTCTTTAACTGGGTATTCTCCACAATACATTATGTTGCAATATGCACTGCGGACTTTGTCCTTTGAGTAGAAAAGGACTGATAAACGTCGTCATTATGATGATGTGAAGACTAATAAACTGAGACTATGAAACAATATTAAATACACTGCTAATGAAGTTTATTTTATAACCATTCCAGCGTGGGGTTGCTTCTACTGCGCTAAGATTTGAACTGCACACAGTTGGCATCTCTCTCTGTGGTTTTTCAAATATAATCAGCACTAGAACAACAAAGTTCAAAACAGTGCACAAGTTAATAATCTCTAACCCACACACGGACAATTTGGTGTTTCTGTCGCACGGCCATGTCTCTGCCTCCGTTCCTTGACCAATCACTGCAGCTCTTTAACTTACCCTCTTCTCTTGCATCTTGTCAAAAGCAATTTGTGCCGGCGTCCTTTTGTCAACATAAGCTTTCTTGGATTTCACCTCCTCGTCGTTTTGATTGGTTGCGACCTGCTCCAGGCGATGCTTGCTCTCTTTATCCTTCTTCTTCTTCCTGAAAAAAGACATGTAATAGTCAGTTAGTTGATTGGTGGCTTGCCAGGCCAACCGCTCCCATCAACAGTCAAGCAAAAAGAAAGAAAGAGGCACACACAAGTACAGACACATGATCAAATGTAGGTAATTAAACACTGTTCAGGAATGTCAAATCTATGATTATTTATCATGTGACCTTATGTGTGTGGTTTCCAAAGTGCCGTTACCCATACCTATTTATTTATGTTGTACACTTTACTATGAGCTGTCTTTAATTCATTTGGTTTGCTGATTGAATCTATATCCTGTGTCCTTTTTAAACTTTATATAGAAAATAGTTACATTACATGAGTATACCGAGCATTATTTTACAAACTACTACTGTATATTTTATAATATTAGAAAATAATATAAAAATAAATCCAATTGTACAACAAATAAAATATATGAAAATAATGTAATTTAGTTAATGATTTTAAAATCATTATCTATAAAAGTATAAAAGGGGGGTAATCTTTTACGCTAAGTTACATCAGTTTGTAGATATTATATTTAGCTAAAATATAAATCAAGTGAATTATCTGCAGAGAAACTGAGAACACAAGTAAATATGTCAATCTTTGTTCTTCTATTGTTGTTAGTCTTTTTTTCAAGAATAATTTGAAAGGTAGTTCTATAAATTAAACCAACAAGAAGTTAGATGAACAGTCTCCATTTAACGTTAATGTTAATGTTTATATTATAACAATAAGAACCTGAAGTTATTGTGTAGCACTCCGTCATGTCAACAGCAGGTAGATCAGTGGTTTCCACCCATACTGTCCATGTTTCCCCAGTATAGTGCTGTTTTCACAATACATTCCCCCACTGTATCTAAACAATCATATATAATATATAATATAATATTATTACTTTACTTTAACACTGTTTCTCTCTATTAGCAAACAAGGCTAACGATAGCCTAGCCTGAATACCAGACGCTTTATTTTAACCAGTTGCGACTTTCTCTTCTTGTATTTTGTCCATTTAAACACCTCGTCTCTTTAACAACATCCCCAAATACAAGCAGACTTACTTTTTTGCAGCTGAAACAGCCCCAACACCTTTTAATTTGAGGGCACTCTTCTGGGCCGCGGCGTACTCAGACATTTTCGAGAAGCTTTCTGTCGTCCTTCTTCTGCTTTGTTATTATATCAACCGGAAGCAGACACAGCGGTGCTGCCCCCTGTCGGGTTGAGGTGGTAGGACGCGGCCTGCAGTGGGTCCTCCCGGCCAGATAGGGGCAGTAGATCATTCCCACAGAGCCAAAGACAAAGCACACAGCGGAAGTTGGAGGCAACATGAATGTCAAACTGTAGCATGGTGGTTTTTGCGTGTGTAGGTAAGCTACAGTGAAAACAACATGTCAGGGTGCAGTTTATTCAGGGTGCTCCCGTTAACAAGGTGCATCACAAGCAACGCCACCACGTTGCTGTGCAGGACGAGCAACCTAAACAGGACACAGACGTGCGGATATGCGAAGAAGATTGGTGAGTGAAGGGGACATCTACCATCTCTGTTCAGTGTGTCTCTGTTTCTGCAGCTGTGCCATGAAGTTGTGTGGTGTGTGTGGTGTGTGTGTGTTTTGTGTGTGGTGAGATGTGAGAGTGAGTGTGAGTGTGAGAGTGTGAGTGAGTGAGTGAGTGCGTGAGGGATACATGGTGGATGTATATTTGTGTTGTAAGGCAGGAATGTAATTGTCTTGTTATTATTTATATATCCATTCACAGTGTAATTTGTGTCTGCACATGCCAGTAAATCATTGTTATTAACCAAATATTAGTGGCTTATTTTTAGGGCTTCACAATTAATTACAATATTATCAAAGTATGTCCAACTGCAAAATCCAAATAGTAAAAGCTGCAGTATTTTAATGAAGGTGAAATGTGTGACAAAACATTATGTAATGAATCTGCATCTGAAGAGATGCCCTGGCCTACACTTCACATCTTGTTCTCCAGATCTAAGAACACGTTTGTTTGGTACAGACACATTTCACCTCATGATTTTAATAGCTTGGTTCAGTAAGAATGAAGTTTGAGATGCAAAAATGCTAATTTCCACACTAATCGTGAATCATATTAAGATATATTTCAAAATAAAAGCAATATGATTATTATTTCTTTACCATATTTTGCAGCCATACTTATTTTCTGTTCGAGGTGTCACTATTGTGATGTAAACATTACTAATATCTCTTTCTTGTCCTCTGCAGTGTCCAAAGGGAAAGGCAAAGGCATGATGAAAGAAAATCTGAAAGGTCCAGAAGTGTGTAAAGATCCTGTCAGACTTACTACACATGCAGTAGGAGTCAACATCTTCAAGCAAGGAGAAGACCCCCAGCTGAAGCCCCCTGAGGAATATCCAGAGTGGTGAGGGCACATATTTCTTTATTTCTTCTGTAGCAGAAAACTGTGCTCATCTTTTACCCAAATAAAGATTGTTACTGTATGTTCACAGTTATGTACAGATACAGTAACAATCACTGTCACTATTGCTATTGTTCTCCACACCTACACACACAAAAGTCAGTCCAGGTTTGGTGTTTTGGTAGTTGAATGATGTTATATACACATATATACATTTATATGGACAAAAATAACAACATATTTGCTTGTAATGGTTATTTTTTCCCTGTAATGTTTTCTGCCTTTTATTTTTCTGTGTGTCCAAACTGAAAGTGAAGATTTCCGCACAATATATTGCAATATTGTAGTATATTGCATTGATATTACAATATACTGCAATATATTGCTGTATTTTTCTGGATTTTCACATGTATACAAAGTAACACATTACATCAGTCCTCTGTATGCCTGAACATATCCGATCAATAAAGCTGATCCTGATGTGTCGTCACTGATCTGACCGCCCTCTCCTTCTATCATTCACTCAGGTTGTACCAGTTGAACCTGGGAGAGGTCAAAAAGCTTAATGAGCTGAGCTCGGACACCTGGGAATACTGGAAGCGCCTGAGGAAGGAAAACATTTGGCGTCACAACAGACTACATAAGGGGAAGAAGTTTTAGGCCTTCATTGGACTGACTGAGGGCTTCTTCCTGTACGTCAGGTTGCTTCGGACTCTGTGGACTGAATTATCTGACATGGTGTATGTTCAGTGAAACATCATTAGACATGAATCTCTTTGCCACTTCCAGCGAGTTATTTGAAATCATACACAGTACTGAGTGGCTTTCTGGTGACATTACTATGTTTAAAAATGGAGAAAAACATTCACAATGTAATGGATCCCAACATACGGCCAGAGTAAGACCTCAGAAAGTCTCAACAGAAACTTTAGAAACTGAAAGTTCACTCTTGACCTTGTTGTTTAACTGTATCACACAATCTTCTTCAGCGGGTTGTATTTCCCAGAGTTTATCATTAAACTGTAGACGATCATGTTTAAAAGACATACAGCATTTGTTTCAGGAATACTGCATTGAATTCATCTGTACATGTGTTCATGTTTTGGTTTTTGTCAATGGAGAGAAATGGCCGATGATATGTCCACTAATCACTGTTTCACTAGTTGTTGTTTTTCTCAGACTCATTCTAAATAAATATGCAATTACCCTGCAGATTATTTGACTTTTATTCTTTAGGAATGTCTCGTAGCTTTAATAAACATTATCATATGAATTAATCTGATATCACTTTGTAATGAGGCACCCTTTATAAAGGGTTTATGAACTGTAATGAATGAGTTATTCATCATTTACAGGTCTGTTCTTATTAGTTAATACTTAAATAAGCCTGTTATAAGCTATTAAAAAGGAGGGAAACACTAGTGGAAATCTGATTACCATTAGTTCATCTTTTAGTAAAAGTTGACTTCAATAAACGATGTTACTATGACAACGCAAATCATGCAAATGATCGAGGCTACCGACAGAAATGAGGAACCGAAATGTGAAGCAAATCATCTGGGGAACAAAATCACGTAAGATTGTAGGAACCGATGGGGTGTAAAGATGCGTGAGACAGCTCTCTTTCCATGCAAAAGGCACCCGTTCCTCTTTCTCCTCCACTGGATTTCACCGCCGGTCTGTTCTCGTTGAAAAGTCGGTAAGTCCAAAACTTTTCCTCCCGACTTTGATAAATCAAGTCGTTACGTTAATGGCGGAAGCGGCAAGTGGTGTCACTCCTTTGACGTTATTAATCGACGTCGTGGTGTTGGTAGTTTCGTTTTTGACTTAATTTCCTCAGTAAAGTGTTTTAATATCCTCTGCCGCGTTAGTGCGTGTGCAGTTTAGACTCATTTGACTTGATGGGAAAACCCGAGCCCATGTTTACAACCTGTAGATTTGTGGCGCACCAGTCGTGTGGGCGAACAAGTGGGCGATTCATTCAGCGATCAAACCACTTTGCTGTGGGTCATCTGTCAGTCACATCCGGAGGGAATCATCAGGGCTGTGTGGTGGAGCTGATGATTAAAGGCCAGAGAGTCTATCGGGGCAGGTTGTAGCGCCTAAAAGCCTCTTTCTTCTTACGTCCCTTTTCTATATTAGTGGTGACACACAGGAAGATGGAGGAGTGCAAAAGCAGCATTGGGACTCTGAGTGAAGACGTTTTGAACAAGCTGGCGAAGATGTTGGACAACTCGACCTGCGGATGGAGGCAGCTGGCCAACGCGGTGTCCGAGCAACCGAAATTCCGCTGCAGGTGAGACCCTGAAGGCATCACGCAAATATGATAGCACTTTAAACAATATTCAAAGCCATTTACACACACTTATATTTCATCCTGTATCACAAGGGTCTTCTTTTTATGTACTAAAAAGGTTTGCCCCTCCATCATACTGTACATTATATAAGTAATAATATAGGTAATAAGTAATATATAAGTGTTTGGGGGCCCCCTCCCTATCAGCACCCCCACTGACACTGCTCCTTCCTCTGAACTCCCTCCCTGAAGTGAGACTGAGCTGACCAGCTGCTCGCTGCAGGTGCTGAGCGCCACAGGCAGCCCGGGTCGAGCCCTCCTGGCTCGGCTAGCTGATCGTTGCTGCTCCCTGGACTTCCTGCTCCACTGTCTGAGGAAGATAGACCACCAGGAAGCTGTGCAATACCTCACCACCATGGGTAAAGCAGAAGTCACAAATGCAAATGCGGAGAAATGTTTTCCAGGAAATACCTCTTTAACTATAAAGATCCATCCAAAAATAAACCTGGGTTTGTTTTCCAGCAACACTTTGCTTAGTAGCTGTAGGACGATGTTACTAGAGATGTTTAAGACCTTAAACATCTCCTTGACCTTAGCCACGAGATCTGCTTGCCTAAAGATATTGGTATTCGTCTGTAGCATGTGAGTTGTAATGCCAAATGTTTTCTTATAATCCCGCAGTAAACACAGGGTGTGTGTGAAAGTGTTACAGATCACATATTATTCACATTTGCGTACTTATATTCATTCTTTAGGGGTTTACTAGTAAAATGTACGTGCTTTAATATTCAAGAGCACATTGTTTCTCTTGTTACTATACTTTCCATTGCTGCATGGTGCATTCGCCATGTTCTGGTTAGAGTTTGAAAGCACAGGTACTCAAACACTGGCTGTGTACATTTGTACCGTTCTGGAACACCTAAAGTAAATGGCATGCAGCTATTATTATTGTTATTCATTCATTTTATTGATTGGTTACTTGGGTACATGTTTGCAGTCTCTCCTTTGTCCAGGAAGAAATAGTCCTGGCTCAACCATAAAACCCTCAAAGTAGAGGAAAGATAGGGCTTTTTTTCTGGATCATTTTTGTCTGTAGAAGTGACAACAAGTTATCCTCAGCTGCTCACCTGCACTCTGCTTTGTTGTGTGTGTGTGTTTGTGTTTGTGTGTGTGTTAGTGACAGAGCTGATCCAGATCACAGTGCAGCCGCAGTCCCAGCAGGCCATAGTTGGGGGCAGGTTGGTATTGACCTGTAAAGCCTCTGGTCCCCCTGGACTTAGCTACCAGTGGTTCAAAAGCAACGAAGAGGTCAGTCCAACATCTTATGATTACGTGATTACAATATACAAGAAAAAAAGTATTAATGCTAGTTTTTCATATTGATGTTGTGCCAGCATGTCAGTTATAAATTGATTAATTGATTGATTATTTCCTTGTTTTAGATTTTGGATGAGACAGGGAGTACACCAGAGCTGGTCCTGTGTCCTTTAGCCCCGGTCCACCAGGGCCACTATATCTGTAGGGTCAACCATGGAGAAAACTTCATTTTCTCCCAGTGGGCTCAGGTTCGGTTGGTCCACTCTGCAGGTATCTCTCCTCTCTTTCCTTCTATTCTCTTGGTTCCCTTTGTTTTATTTCATGTCATGGCATGTGGTGTAATCTTGTCATCTCAGGCTGCAGCAGCAGTCTGTTTCAAGGGTCCGTGAGCGGGTTGCTTATCACCCATCAGCCTCAGTCCCGAGCAGCGTCTGAAGGCGACACTCTTTTCCTGGAGTGCAATGCAGAGGCCAACCCTCCTGCACAGTACGAGTGGTACCACAACATGGTGCCCATGAAACAACAAAACACACGTTCACTCAAGGTAAGTATTTACACCTGTGAACTGCTTACTAGTGTGTATCAATTAATCATTTTTTGGATTAAAACTTAAAGGGCCAGTGTGCAGGATTTAGTGTCTTCTTGCAGTCTAGTTGCAGATTGCAACTCCCTCGTTCAGCATAGAGGCCTCTATAGAAGGTGTCTGTAGATATAAAAGGGTCATTCTAAGGTAACAAAAACATAACAGTTATCATTTTCAGGTGATTATACACTGATAAACACAAATATTATATTCCTTTTCTGCTAATAGATCCTCCTAAATATTAAACACTGGACCTTTAAAGAAGGAGAAAAAGCTTTACAACTAAGCCAAGAACCATAAAACAATTGTGCTATCATTATAAAAGGGCTATCATAAACAAAAAATAAATGTTTATCACATAAAAGCAAGTCTGTTTTACATTTAAAGTGGGGTTTGTTTAGCTTGAGTTCCTCCCAAATTGGCAAAGTCCTATTTGTTTGTAATCTGTATATTTCAGATTCTGTTACATAGTTTACATAGTGTAAGTATGATCTAATACCAAAATGTTGATGGTGAGTGATCAGATGAAGAGTTTGACAATGTGTGGATTCAAATATTCCAGTTTTTGTACATCATCATATGAAAGCAGATATGTTAGGCCACAGCAATGTAGGTGTTGGGACTTTTTAATCAAAATACAGTTGACAACTTACTCTCACATTTGGTCTACTGGTACTTGATGTTGTGTAATTCTTGTGCACTCTGTAGATCCCATGTGTGACCACAGCACACAGAGGACAGTACAAATGCAAGGTGTTCAATTTGTACCATGAGGTGTGGACTGACGTAGCAACAGTTGTCATTGGTGAGAAC